AATCAAATAAAGATATAAAGAAAATAAATTAAATGCATTAAGAGTGTCACAAAAACGATCGTAGCCTATACTTTTTGCACAGTTTTTTCTTTTTCCTTTTGTTAATCTGTTAATTATATTATAGCTTATTATATATTTTGTGTGATCCTATTTATTTTATTCCTTTTATAGACTTAATTTCTGTTTTTCTCCTTTCACAGAAGCGCTGCAGGTGCATGATGAGACGATTGAATCCTCATGGTCTTGTTTACGCTTCTATTCGCGCATATAAAGCTAAAAACAAAAAACCCTATAAAACAATATAAAACAAAAAAGACATTCTAATCTTACTGGTTAACGATCGACTAATGAGCTTCGTTTGACGGTCGGGAAAATAAAAATGAACAAAATGCTGTCATTCTACAATTCTCCACCATATTTACTATGATGCGCGCAAATTAAGGTAACTCAAAAACTTGCGTACACGAGCTGAGACCAGACGTGAGATTTGATCGCAGCCACCGCTCACGCCCATATTAATAAATTCCAAGTTGTGCATTGAAACGACCGTACGCCCAATTTTCTGTCGTATGTTCGTTTAGTAAATGAGGCCCAATATGTTCCATAAATAACATTCCTTTTAAAGAGATACTCCACTCCAAAATGAAAATTTTGTCATTAATCACTTACCCCAATGTCGTTCCAAACCCGTAAAAGCTTTGTTCGTCTTCGGAACACAATTTAAGATATTATGGATGAAAACCGGGAGGCTTGTGACTGTCCCATTCACTGCCAAGTAAATTACACTGTCAAGGTCCAGAAAAGTATGAAAGACATCGTCAGAATAGTCCATCTGCCATCAGTGTTTCAACCGTAACGTTATGAAGCGACGAGAATACTTTTTGTACGCGAAGAAAACAAAAAAGACGAACCAAGCTTTTACAGGTTTGGAACGACATGGGATTAATGACACAATTTTCATTTTGGGGTGGAGTATCCCTTTAATCAATCGATCAAACACATTTTGGGTTTGGCTGGGCTTAAACAATATTCATATCAACCCATCACCTCCGTTGTTTGACAGGAATGTTGTTCCAGAACCAACAAAAGATATTCAATGTGCCCTTTTGTCCTACAAACACATTCATTTGCATATGTCAAGACAATACCTACAAATCCATTCAATGATTTATCAATAACCTGTTCCTCAGGTCTAGCATGCTGCACTCGAACCCTGGAGATTATGCTTGGAGACAAGGAGGTCTAGATGTGGTCATCACACAGGTGAGTCACACTGACATCAGTGACAATCTGATGATATGACTCATGTCCTCAACCTTTTTGCCTCATTGGTCTTCACAGCATTTTGTCTGTTGGCACTTAAATTTGCCCCCAGGCTTGAGTCAAGCACATAATAGAATTTTCTTGCTGAAATTAAAGCAGCATTAGAAATATCCTGCTCATCAACCGCTGCAGATTTTTTTTTTCTCTTCCAGTTGCTTGGTCAGTCTGAAAATACCGGCCCCCCTCCTGCTGAGAAGGAGATGATCTCATCTCTCCCCACCATTAGCATCTCCTCAGAACAGGCTGGTAAATTCCCATAATCCTCTGAGTCACCATGCACACTTCATTTTAAGTGCTATAAAGTAAAACAGGGCTGTTCACATATTTCTGGTCACCTCCAGGAAGCATTTTTCTTGCTTTCCTGGCAGACTATTGTATTGAGTATGGAGAGGGTGAGCTGGAAAGTGTTAAAACATGATGAATATGTACGATTCTGACAGCAGTGCATTGTGTAGAAGCCATATTTATATCAAATGTTTCCAGAGACTCACATTTTTCCCCTCGTGTTGTTTATCGCTGAGCTACAAATCGTTCGTTCATTCAGTTGCAAGTTTTTTTTTTAAAGCGACAGTCACCCAAAAATGAAAATTCTATCATTTACTCAACCTCATGTTGTTCCAAACCTGTATGACTTTTTTTGTTCTGTGGAACATAAATGAAGATATTCTAAAGAATGTTGATAATCAAACAGTTTCAGTTCCCATTGACTTCTATTATATGGAATTACAACAGAACTCAATGGGAGCCGAAACGGTTTGGCAACCAACATTCTTTAAATATCTTCTTTTGTGTTCAGCAGAATGAAGAAAATTATACAAGTTGCAACAACATTAGATTAAGTAAATTATGACAGAATTTTGATATTTGGGTGGTCTGTCCCTTTAAGAAACTTGTAACTGAATGAACAAACTGATTTGTAGCTCATCACTCAGTAATTTGAGGGGGAAATATGAATCTATGGTCATTTTTTATATGAATATGGCATATACACAATGCACTGCTTTTAAAATCACACAGATCCATTTTGTTTTTTTGATTTTCATTTTTGGGTGGACTATGCCTTTAATTTTCAGGGTTCTGTTTGACAGTATAAGCAGCACTTGACAATTGCTCTCTCCATTTTTCATGTGCACATTTTTTTTTTCTACGTCTCTCTTACAGCATGCCAGCTGGAATGCCCTGTGTGTAGAGAGGAGTACTCTGAAGGGGAATCTGTCCGACAGCTGCCCTGTCTGCACTATTTTCACAGCAACTGTATTGTACCCTGGCTACAACTGGTATGAGTCTCATAAATGACCGTAGCACTGGATCTTTTGTCATCAGACCCATGTTTTTAACAGAATAAGGCTTAATTTAGTAAATAGTGGTAGCCCGGCCATTTATAATCGTTGGTTATACCGTATTTAACTCGCAAGCAAAATGTTTGGAAGGACCTCTAGTGGACAGAGGACAAACAGCCTTACTCTAATGGACTAATTAAAGCCCATAGAGCTGGTCAGTTGTGACATCAATTTGTAGACCGACCCAATTCACCCTCGGGAATTTCCAGTGGGTTTTTAAAATGCCAGGTTTCGATTTATGAGCACAATAAACTTTGTGGTTAACATTACTTGAACAGACTTTACCGTCTACATCACTGCACACAGTCATACTGCAAACATGAATTTGAGGTGACAGGTTTGAAATGTGTTTAGATGTTAATGATATTTGAAAACCATGTGTCATGTAAAACTAAATTACGTGGTAAAATAACCTACACTAGCATTCAGAAGTTTGGGGTCGGTAAGATTTTTTAAATGCTTTTGAAAAAAAACGTCAGTTGATCACCAAGGCTGGACTTATTTAATTAAAAAAACAAACAAAAAAAACAATCTATTATTATTACAATCTAAAATAACTGTTTTCTATTTGAATGTATTTTAAAATGTAATGTATTCCTGTGATGGCAAAGCTGAATTTTCAGCAGCACCATTACACCAGGCTTCATATCACATGATCCTTCTGATTTGGTGCTCAAGGAACATTTATTATTATTATCAATGTTGAAAACAGTTGTGCTGCTTAATATTTTTGTCTTTTCAGGATTCTTTTTGATGAACAGAAAATTAAAAAGGACATTTATCTGAAATTCAATTTGTTTGGTAACATTATAAATGTCTTTACAGTCATTTTTGATCAATTTAATGTGTTCTTGGCTGAATAAAAGTATTAATTTCTTTATAAAAAATCATAGATACCCACAATTTTTGAATAGTAGTGTACATGAATTCAATTCACACAACAAAAAACAAACACTAGCTTTCTATTTTTTCTATTCTATCTACTTGTTTTTCTTTGTTTGTGTGTGTGTGTATATGCGTGTATAATATGTATGTATATATATATATATATATATATATGTATATATATACACCTTGCTACGTGTACTGCGTTAGGCTAACCGAGACTTGTCATTTGCACTTATATATTGTTGCTCTTTTGTTAGTTTTGACTGCTTTTATTGTCCTCATTTGTAAGTCGCTTTGGATAAAAGCGTCTGCTAAATGACTAAATGTAAATGTAAATGTACATGAAGAAATAAGACAATTACTCTTCTGTCCTCATTTGTACTGTTTTATGTTAATAGCACGACACCTGCCCTGTCTGCCGGGAAAGTCTGGATGGTGAAGACCGGGGTTTCCAGCCACAGGCAGGACCTCCAGGGGCAATTCCCTCACCGACGAATGTAGAGGAATGTAGCACATTTGAGACTCTTTAGCCTCCTTTTCCTTCCTTTATTATGCTGATCAATCCAGGACAGAGAGAAGCACCACAGCCCTGTGCGTCAGTGCTTCACAGAGCCCCTAAAAAGAGTGCCTTCTATTTCAAAACACATTTTAATTGAGGCTCTTTCAGTCAGTATCGGTCTGATTAGCAGTTATATATGTTATTTGTGTTTTTGCAATGTACAGTTGTGCCCAAAATCCTACCAATGATGTCTACAGTCCAACCTAAACTTACATATTTCAACTAACACAGCACACATGTGATGCATTAAATCAATTTTAAAAATTCCAGTTTGGAACAAACACAGTCTCTTAGGCGGGCCGCAGGACTGGAGCTCACGAGTACTGAGATAGATGATACAGATGTCTCAGGGGATGTAGTTCAAGTTGCATATGCATATTTAATGGCACGGCACACGTTTACCCTATAGCTTCTTCAGAGCTCCTGTTTTAATACCTCACAATGAAGTAAGCGCACAGTTCACTTTCCCTTACCTGTCAATGGATGACCTCTGCTCCGCACATGCCTTCACTCTTAGGAAGGTATCATAGAAATGCAAAGATTTAGACCTACTCAAGTTTTGCACTGTTAAACTTTTCGTCTGTTGTACTGTACATGTTTTGGGTTGATAGTTTGCACTGTTGTTTTCTGTTTGACATTGCTATTTTGTGGGTTCTTGTGGATGGATAGAAAAAGAATCGTATTTATTGTATTCACAAGTTATGAAGCTGTTAGAGCTCTTCTTGATGATCCTCTTGGTGCTAATCCTCAGGGTTCCTTGACTGCTACATATTTTAATATTGAGACACAGTCCCACTCATGATTTTTCTTTGCAATATGGCCTTTGAACATTTTGAGTGTCATTTGGAATTTTATACCACACTATCACACAGATAAAGGTCAAATGTTTACAAGAAAAAAAAGAAAAAAAAAAAAGTTACATTGAATAACTAGAAAAATGCACATAACATTACCCACAGGCCAACCTGTTACATATTGCTAGGCCTGTCACGATAACACCTTTTTGTTGTGCGATATATTGCCCCACAAATAATTGCGATAAGCGATATTATTGTCATTTTAAAGATCATTTTATGCCACTGAATATATAATTGTAATGTAACGGCATAATAATGCAAGAAGGCCTACACATTTCCAAATGACAAACTTTTAATATTTAAGAATATTTATTGCGCGATAAGTCGATATATTGATTATTGCGGCAGGCCTACATATTGCACTCTCAAACAAATAAATAAATATTTGTTAAGACAATATTTGGGAGTTTTAGGCATCAGAGCGTGTGAAGTATATGGGGTTTTTGACGGTGATGATGAAAAACGATGATGATAAAAAACAAGACAAAACTGTAATTTAGGTAAACATTTATTTTACATATTTAATTTCAAAATGACCAAATACTTTATTTAAGCTTGGTGTGGAATTAAACAAGTTATATTATGATTTATTACTTTTTATTCAGCAAGGATGTATTCAATTGATCAAAAGTGACAGTAAAGAAATTTATAGTGTTACAAAAGATTTCTATTTCAAATAAATGCTGTTCTTTTGAACTTTCTATTCTTCAAAGAATCCTAGAAAAATGCATCACAGTTTCCACAAAATAATAATCACCACAACTGTTTTCAAGATTGCAGAAATGTTTCTTGGACACAAAATCAGCATATTAGAATGATTTCTGAAGGATTATGTGACACTGAAGACTGGCGTAATGGCGTCTTAAAAGATCTAGCTTTGCCATCACATTTTAAATTATATTAAAACAGATGTTTAAAATTGTAATAATACTACTTTTACAATGTACAATGTACAAGTTATAACGTAAGGTTTGCATATTGTGAGAGGTAGATTTGCATTAACTGATAACATGTCACATATTGTTTCAAATGACATCTGTCGTTACATTTTGTATGATAAGGAAGCTGCTGAATGCCCAGCTTCCTAATTAATTTCTGTCATTAATGTGCAACACGTCACTATGCCATGCAGTCAGTCAGTCTAATTATCTCATTTGCAGCTTAAAAACCTAACATATTAATTATGAAACAGCATCAGTTTCACTATATATTATAAACCATGAAGTTTGATTTCCACCTGTTTCACCAAGGTCATTTTTGCGTTATTAGTAGAAATAAATAAGTCACGTGGCTGGCTATTAATATTTTTTTTTTCATGAAGCAATACCCCGGCAATAATAATAACTTGACATGTTATAATAAGACACTAGGCACTTGTGTAAATGCAGAATTGCCCAGCCACTTAGATCAATGTTAAAAAATAACCATATGGATTGCGCAACTGTATTTCACCGTCCCTCCTCCTCCAAACCTGATCCAAAAGTTCAGTGGGATTTTGTGTGGACAAAGTAAAAGGTCAAATAAAAAGCAGGTTTCAATTGTCATTGCTGCTCTAATTACTGAATTCCGCCCACTTATACAGTTACACAACCCTCTCCACAGCTACAATTCCCGTGAGAGTGTCGATATTTTACTGTAGTTAAAGACTGAGACAACGACACCTCTTCAGGAGCCAAAAATTGTTATAATGGTTGCCCTTTCGCAACAGCGGCTGGTATTTTGATTCATCTAACTAACTCTTGAATCTGTCAACTAAAAAGACTCATTCAATAGCCCTTTTTTGCAGTTTAACTCGTTACGCCAGTAGGTGGCGTCAAGTGAGTTTTGTTTTGTGAGTCATATGCTCAACCATTCGTTTAAAAAAGTCGTTCACAATCACAACCGAGTCATATTATCACTTACTAATTTGTTTGTATAAATATATTCAGAGGCCGAGAGAGTATGTAGCCTATACACATTTTGTTTGTTTTCATTTCGTTAATTTTGTTCATGAACATAGTTTCCTTCAGACTTGGAACATCTAATAGTTCATCCTTCTGTTTATTGTAGCCTAAGTGCACGCTGAAGTTGCATCGAGCTCTTTAAAGTCAGGTGGATTCTGATTGGATGTCACTTAATTTATCGTTCATCAGCTGGAAAAAAAAAAGTGATTTGAATAATTAGTATTTTAATTTTTTCATATTAATATTTCACTGTAAAATATAAACGAGTATTTAAGAAAAACAATATAATAATTATTTTATTTTACATTATAACTAACCACAACTAACGAACTATAATTATATAATTTAATAACATTCTAATTCTAGGAGAATAGAGAAGTCCACACCAAACGTTGGAACTTCCGGAACGATCTAAAGAACGATCAAATAATTTGACAGCCAATTAAAATCCACCCCGCTTTAAAAAAAAAAAAAATCGCGAACATTTAAAGCGGCAGACTACATAATTTCAGTGAGCGCTTATTATAAACAGGACGTTGTCGTGAGTTGTACCTACGCTATAGTTAACGTTCTTGATGTGAACGATCCTTTATAATTGTGGTATGGACTTCCCTCTTCCCATAGAACGGTTATTAAAACTTTACAGTTATATATCGCCCTTGATGTGAACGGGTCCTAAAGTGAACGAGAAGGATGCGTTGCTGCTCTCCTAATGAATGGATTCTGCTCAGTGCTCACTCATACAGTCACACAACCCGCCTCACGGCTATGATTCCCACGGGAGTCTCGATATTTCACTTTGGGTAAACACTGCCACGAGCGTACGACAACACAACCCCCCTTTCAGGTTTGGGAATGAACGTTCTTTGGCAATTCAATATTAAACGTCTTATTGCTCTACATTTTCATCCGAGGAAAGCAAACAAATCTTGCATTTTGTTTAAAAGTGTTTGAATTTGTATCCCCCGCACAAGCAGGGAGAAAGTGTTTCCATACAAAGTTACAAAATATATCGCATAAAACATTTGCGAATAAAGCACCATTTCCATCCTGGGAGTTGAAGAGAACAAAATCGTCACTTCCTGATTAACTTGCACTATACATCACGAAGAAAACTAAATTTGCTGCAGTAGTAGAAGCTGTATATAATTTGTGTATACAATAAATTTGTATTTGCTTCAGAGCGCGCAGACGAAACGCGGTCATGTTATTTTATTTTCGGAGCATGCTGTTTGGGAACGCATTTCTTGGAGTTAATTATAACGAATCACTTTGACGAGACTTTGCTCAAGCATTTTAGAATGACAAACTAGCATTTCAGATGCTGTGCAACGAGATCGGTCAATGCTTGGTTCAGTTTTATGCTGCCCCATCGCAAAGTCACATGACTTTTTTGATGCGCATTAAGGAATTTATTCAGTAAAAAAGTGTTTCCATCGTAGTTTATGCGCATGTTTTCTTACCGGATATGAAATTTATCCTACTTGAGATTTTTAGAATTCATGCGCATCTTAGCGTTTCCACCCAGCGTTTTTTTTATGCGATATCCCAAAATGCGTATTAAAAATAGGTGGATGGAAACATAGCGAACAGCCTTCGACAACTGCCCTCGACTCCCCTCCCTTCTCCCCCTCCTTTCCTCCTCCCGCTCTGACTGTGAGAATGCCCTGACAGAAACGATACGGGCTTAGCAGACATGGAGGCCCGATTAACGAGAGAGGCCCATTCCGACGCGTCTGAGCTCGACTAACGCGGACCCGGAGAGGGATTCGGGCGACACATCGGATTATCACGGGTAACGAGCGCCACATAGAAGACGAGGGAGAGGGCGAAGAATTTGAGGGAGAGATCCATTTCGGGTGCTCTGTTGACTCAACGCAGCAGCCGCCATTTTGTTGACAGTTCGTGTTTTTAATAACCCGTGTAGGGCTCATCCCGAAGAGCGTTAGAATTTTGTATTCCGCTTCTTTTGGTCCTTCCGAGGATGTTTTTATGCTATTGTTGGATTTTTATTGACGGCCTGGGCGAGAAGGGAACACTTTACTAATGTGATCCCCACCAACAGCCGCTGCTTCGTTACGTTACATTACTAGTCGTGTGGACGGATCGCGGGGTTAGCTAGCCATTCCAGCAAATGTGCTTGACAGGACAGACCATTAGAGTATGGGTTTAATGGTACGATCTACCTAGAGTGAATTCACTCGTTTGTGGGGTAGTAAACAACACAGAGACGTGAATTGAATGACCGTTGACGTTGTATACGTGGGGTTATAGCCGCGATGTTGGGCAAAGCCAACTTACCTTGCTCACAGACATCTGTCTTTCAAAATTGTAATGGCAGCAAGGTATTCTGACATCCCTTTGTAGTAACAGTCTCAGTCTAATAACTTGCTATTATTGTTTCATACAGTCTAGTTTGACACACCGTTCTAATTTAAGGTTAAGCTCAAGATACGCTCTTTGCTAACGAGCTATGCTAGCTATATTAGGATCATAAACCGTGACCAGTGCGCCTCACGTTAGATAAATATCGTTCCAGCTCATTTTTGCGGGATGACTGGATATACACACTAGACGAATATTTTGTTATGCCATGCATTGGTTGGAATGTTCTTCCGAGAAATGTGACCGTATTTTCCTTTTGCTTCATTTTTAGGGACATCAGCGATTTCAAGATAAATATCCGAGCGACTATTCTGTTGCGTACGAAGGGAGGATTTTGATCGCAAATTATGTGAACGCCGTTCTGGACCGCTGTTAAGGTGAGCAACTTGTTAATTAATTCTGCATTTAGACTGAAAACGTGCTTTAATGCTTTAAACGGGGTGCTTGGTTTACTAAGACATCTGTCAAAACAAGTGAGGAAAATGCAGTGTTTTGATGCATGAAATGTAGCGCAAGAGCTTTGTTTGTTGTCGCTAGTACGTAATGCTGTTTAGTAAAATGTTGCGGTGTTCATTCACAAGGCATTTTGGCCACTGAGTTTTACGTGTTCATTTGATAGAAACTAACCTTTAGAAGCACCTGCGAGTAGATCATCCTCAGTTAACCTCGCTCACAATAGGGTTCGTTGCACGTGCAAATTGCGCGCGCCTTTGCTTGGTTATAGTTTTGCCATTGTTTCAGAGGTCTTGAGAAGTGTAGAAAGTGGTGTCTGGAGCCTTTGAGCCACCTTTGACCTCTGACACAGCTGTCAAGGAAACCAGAACTGAACTTCCCGCTGACTGAGTGATGTTTGAGTGGATAGGCGTGATTTTTAGGCATTTAGTTTGTGGTCGGAAAGGATCCAGCCAAGACGCATTGTGTTTGAAATATGAGTGCAGATTAATAGATCATTGTGTTAGACCAGGGGTGCCCAAACTCGGTCCTGGAGGGCCGGTGTCCTGCAGAGTTTAGCTCCAACTTGCCTCAATACACCTGCCTTTAAGTTTCTAGTATGCCTAGTAAGAGCTTGATTAGCTGCTTCAGGTGTGTTTAATTAGGGTTGGAGCTAAACTCTTCAGGACACCAGCCCTCCAGGACCGAGTTTGGGCACCCCTGTGTTAGACCGTTTAGTTTAGTTTTGTGGTCCTTTCTGATGGCATCTGATGCAAAGTTGTAGAAGATAAATGAATCGTTGGGAGATGTATACACTCCTTGCCTGGCTTACAGTGGGACATTTAATATATGAATGGCATTGCATTTTTAGGTGAGAAAATAAATTAAAGTTGCATTTATTTTTTGTGACCGAGAGAACATGCACAATATTTAAATATATCGTTCAAAGTAAAGACTAAAATGATGTAGACATTACAACATGTTCATGGTTGATGTGATGAATTACACTAAAAATCACTTTGAGACCAGCTGGTTAAAAGTAATCACAAAAATGTCAAAAAAAAAGAGAAGTTCACTTCCTAAAAAAAGGTCTAGACATCATTTTGACAACTGATGGATAGAACTTAGTGAACCATTGATAGAACCATGAACCATTTTTTTCTTATTCAATAATCACTCGGTGTACATCACAATATGGAAGAAAAGAATCGCTACTTGTGTTTCATTGCAACTTTAATATGACGCGATCTTGTAGCTTAAATGCTGGTTTTGAAGAAGCATAGACAAACTATATCTACAGTAGAGTGAAAAAAGAGTAGATGCTGTTTGTCTGCTGTAAGTCCTCTACACCATATTTTTAATAGTTTTTAGATGTAGTTTGCCAATGCTTTTTCTTCTTGCCATCTAGTTACCCTCAGGCTCACTAAATCTAAACTATAACTCAACTGTCACTGCCTCCCAATTTGTCCTGCAGTGTGTTTTGGCTGGCTGAAGGTTGTGGCTTTCAGTGCTCATAGAAGAAACGCGGGCACGTAATTTCATAGCAGAAGAAAGACTGTCTAAATACACAGAGTTAGTATATTTTGTATCTGTGCTGCCAAAACAAGCATAGATTAAAGAGTCGTGAATGACAGGTGCTGAAGAAGCGTGGATGGAGGAGGAAGCAGAAGAATCACTGACTTAAGCGTTTCCTTTTTGTTTGTTGATAAATTTACTTTGATGTTACACTAAGAAAATTTGCTTTATCTGGTCACACTTGTGTAGCGTTCGTGTTTACATATACGTAATGTATGTAAATGAATGAAAAGTAATAGTTTACATTGTAGTAATTAATTATAGTAGCATGTAATATTTGTAACATGACCACTGTAAAATAAAATCATTTTTAGTTGGTTACTTTTTGTTTGTTTTGTTCCTGTAGCTCAACTGGTAGAGTATGATGCTTGCAACGCCAAGAGCATGGGTTCGATTCCCGTTGCTTCAGATGCATAAATGTAAACTTAAAGTGTTGGATTGTTGCAAACGACAGCTTTCCCTTAAGACTTTTCTCTCAGCCATTTTACATTACAAGGTAGCATTTATTTTTTGCATCTTCTCCGCAAAGAGAGGAGGGAAGAGAGAGCGAATAACACCGAAACGAGAAGCGGCGTACGACCCAGAGCGCTGAGGAAATAGGGGCATGATTGTCACGAAGGGAGGGACGGACCAGGGAAAAAAGACGGAGGGAGGGAGCGCTGGGGAAATGTGTTTTCGATTAGCAGGAGCACAACGACTCTAGTTTGACCGCTGTACTGTTAGATTTCCAAGTGAGTGTTAGAGGGAGACTGAATGAGTGAGAGGACGAAGAGAGTGACAGAATGGGGTGAAAGGGTAGGTCGGGCAGAGAACAAGAGAGGTGTGATTTTTGGATGGCCGTGTGTGAAACGGGAAAGGGCGAATGGCAGGGAAAGGGCGTGTTTAAGTGAAATGGGGTGAGTAATTATAGTAAACAGTGAGAGGTCGGAGTAGAGAGAAGGAAGGCAGGACTCCCAAGTTCTGGAGCATGGTTTATAGTTGTGGTGATTTCACAGAAAACGACTTTCTCAATATAAAAGACCACCACTAATGAAACAACACTCCGTAAAATGGCTCTTGGAGCTTTTTCTCGTGCTGAGCACTAAACGGCCGTAACCATTCGTGTAGCATTCCAATGACCTAGGCGTTCTTAATAGACTTGTGTAATCTTTAAACCATTGCTCTCAGCGGGGCATAAAGAAACTGTCCGCTTCTGTTGCTCTACCCTCTCTTTTTCCTTTTCTTTCCTGGTCTTTCATTCACTCTGCGCTTTTCTGATTGGCAGTTATAAAAGGGCTCGGTAAGGTGACTGGATCCTCTGTCTCCCAGAGGGCCCTTTATGCTGAGGTCACTGCTCAGACTCGCCTCTCAATGATTTGACCCTCAGAAAGCACCTGTGGTCGGTGCAGTACTAAATTACTCAGTGGCCTTTTGTTTTGGAGGTGTGTAAGGGGCATAAGGTTACTTTTGTCAAGCCCCCAGTACTTTTTTGTGCATTCCAAAAAAATTTATGTTCTCTGTCTTTTATAATCCAGGTCAATTTATTAGAAAGGCGATTGTAAAAAAAAAAAAAAAAAGCATTGTTAATTGTTTGTTAACTTTACTGCTATAAGAATATTGAAAGGCTGGTTCACATAAAACTAATATTGCAAAATCATTTCATGTCCTTGTGACTTATTTCTTTCTGTGGCATACAAGGTGATGTTTTGCAAAAAGGTCTTGATCATTATGGGACTGGGGCTGGACTCCAAAAAAGTAGTGTAAAAGTGGTTGATACGCCACCTTGAAATGAAACATTGAGTGTTTACATGTACAGCAAAATGCTGACAACCATCAAAAATCAGTGTTATCAAACATAGCTAACACAAGAAAATCTTATCTCCAGTTTTGATGAAAAGGTAAACAGATACATTGGCACGTTGAATTAGTCTACTGGTTAAAGTGCTGAGCCCAATAAAACAAATGGGCAAAAATCAAAAGTCTGCTTTTTGTCAAATTGTTTATGACTTTTATCTGGTAAAATGTGTTTACATGATGTTACATGTTGTTTTTTTTTTTTAAGCATTATTCTTGTAAAAGTGTGCATGTGATCATATTTGTTTATCAGAACACAAGGCAGTGTAGTTGTAAAAAAAAAAGGCAGCAAAAGCCTCTTTGATTCTTCCTGTCTGGCTTCTTAGTGTATAATTCAGAACAATCCATAATCAAAAGTCTCTGTATAGTTTGGATATTAGTGACTAGCCTTTCTGTGTCCTTAGTTGGATCTTTCAAAGTCGTATTTGTGGTGGTGATCCATGTTTGCAAAGCCATTCTGTGTTAATAATTAAATTAAAGGTTAAGGCTGTCTCAGAAGTGTGGCTAATTTGTCTTTTGGTCGTAACACCACCTCTCTTGTTTTTATCTCCTCAGTTTGAAGGTGAGAGGGCTGGGCACTTGGGAAGGGACGACATTGCTTCAACCCAACAAGGATTTTTTTCCAACCTCTGCTTTCCCCCCTTCCCCTTCCCCTCCATTCCACTTCCTTCTTCCTACCTGACATCTGCACAGTTCTCCAGTACCTGCCTATACCTGCGAGTGAGAACATCCTGTCCCACTCAAGCCCCCCTTGTTCCCCAAAGGCAGCAAAAGCCTCTTTGATTCTTCCTGTCTGGCTTCTTAGTGTATAATTCAGAACAATCCATAATCAAAAGTCTCTGTATAGTTTGGATATTAGTGACTAGCCTTTCTGTGTCCTTAGTTGGATCTTTCAAAGTCGTATTTGTGGTGGTGATCCATGTTTGCAAAGCCATTCTGTGTTAATAATTAAATTAAAGGTTAAGGCTGTCTCAGAAGTGTGGCTAATTTGTCTTTTGGTCGTAACACCACCTCTCTTGTTTTTATCTCCTCAGTTTGAAGGTGAGAGGGCTGGGCACTTGGGAAGGGACGACATTGCTTCAACCCAACAAGGATTTTTTTCCAACCTCTGCTTTCCCCCCTTCCCCTTCCCCTCCATTCCACTTCCTTCTTCCTACCTGACATCTGCACAGTTCTCCAGTACCTGCCTATACCTGCGAGTGAGAACATCCTGTCCCACTCAAGCCCCCCTTGTTCCCTAAATCACCAATGGATCAGAGGACACAGGGGGGGCCCTCTACGCCGCCCCCGCTCCCTGCCAACGCCCCTCCAGCAGAAAGCGAGAAAGAGGGAGTAGGAGGAAAGAAGGACGATGAAGAGGAAAAGAAAAAGCGAGAGAAACCAAGAGATGGGGCACAAAGTGAAACTTGTGGTGCTGAAAGTGGGACTAGTGACCAGCAGCAGCAACCCACACAGTTCTCGGTCAAAGAAACCAGTTACTCTGAGGGCAATGTCAAGCTCAAGATAGGCCTACAGGCCAAGCGCATGAAGAAGCCTCCTAAGATACTGGAGAACTATGTGTGTCGTCCAGCCTTCCGAGCCACTGTAAGGCATAGTGGAGGACGAGGTGGAGGCCGTGTTAATCGTGGGGCCGGAGCCAATGATGGGAGCAGCCACACTTCTAGCCCAAGTCGTGGAAAAGAAGGAGAGAAAAGCCCCTCTGTCAGCCGAGGAGCACCTCTATCATCTAGTGCTCTTGCTGCTGCATCTCCCTCACCTTCTCTTCCTCCTCCCGTTTCCACCAGCCCAGTCACTCCTGTGAATGGAAGTGCTCCAGCAAAAAGGGTAAGGTTGTTTAACTTCTAACACAGCATTTCTTAGATGTCTAAGACATTGTAAATAAAGAAAGAGACTAGCTGAAATTACATAACATGCAAACCAACAGTGACACGATTGAAAGGTCTAGACAAACTCAAATGACCCTCTTATTCCACTTTCCTTTCACTAAGCTAATGCGGTTTCATCAGATAAACAAGCTTTGCAAATCTAGCCACATTTTTTTTCTCACTCCTCTCTTTCGGTCACGTAAACACTTAAACTCATTTTCTTTCATTTTTTGTTTGTTCCACATTTCTCTGTATTGTAACTATGATTTTCAGTCTGATCCAGGGCACTCTGCTGTTCAGTCTTTTTTTTTGTTTCTTCATCTTTCTTTGCCTTGATTTTATGCCATAATATCTTGTAATTTTATCCCATAATATCTTCTGTTTCACACACATCTTTCCTTTCTCCTCCCATCTTCCTCTAAAATCCTTCTGTTGTTTTATTGATTTGGAGGGGAAAAAACAAGTAATAATGTTCCAAAATTCAATCAATAAACAGTGGCATAAACAAAATTAGATTAGCCTATTTTGGTAATAACTAGGTGAAAACCAGCACAGTTTTGTCACACATTTGTCATTATTTCAATGCATTATTTCTTTGTGTTCCATGATTTTTCATATTACACTGAATTAAAGGTATGTAAAATTATTTTCATTGTTTTCTTCTATTTATGTGCATAGGCTCCTCCAAAACATGCCTGTAAGTCTGAGGGAAAGGCTGATGCAAAATCTGTTGCTTCTTCAGAGAGACCCCTTAATCTTCATCGCCCCACGACAGAAAGCAAATCACCCTCCTCTGGAAAGAAAAACCATGTTCCACAAACCAACTCTGCTCCTGCCCCATCGCCACCGACAATGCCCCCACCTGCCACATCGCAACAGGACCCCAAAACAGATGGTATCTTAACTCCTCAGTACAATTTTCCTGAGGGGCAGAAAGAACAAGAAAGGGGAATTTCTGCCTGGGGTACTCCTACAGTAACTGAGAAGCTTGCTCAGCTCATAGCTACATGCCCGCCTTCAAAGTGCCCTAAGCCAAAAGCCCGGAAGGTGTCACCAGCTCCAGCACACAGTAGCTCACCTCCCTTAATTTCTAATCTGCAGCGCCCCGAACGGGCTATGGCCAATAGGAACACCTATTCCAGGGCGGTGCACCTTGCCCCACCACCACCGGTTTCACGGCCCCCAGGTCGCCCTTATGGGTCCAAAAATAAGGACAGTATCCTGGAGAAATTTTCTGGCACCTCTAGAATAGACGAATCAGATGGATTTTCAAAAGGGGCCACCAGTAGCAACAGCAGCACAACCACCACCACCACTAGTACTGCACTGTCTCAAAACAATAGTCGCTTGACAACGTCATCCACAAGTAATAGCACTGACAACAGTACCACCAATGGAATGAAATCTCAGTCTCATCTTGGGCATTGCCCATCTCATTCTTCCTTCACGGCTTCTCTTTCATCACCACCATCTTCCTCTTCTTCATCCTCCTCCTTAGAAAGAATAGGAAGTACAGGCTGTCACATGGGTTTGCCAGGCTCACTAGCCTCACGGCCTAGAGCAAGCCCCTCCCAAATAGAGGAGTTTACTGAGAAAGACAAAGAGCGTGACCGAGACAAAGACACGGACAGTCCCAGAGATTTAAGTAAGGGCTCCACACTAGCAATGCCAGGGAAGCAAGATGCTAAAGAAAGGTGTTCTTTGTCAGCTCCTCGAAGTGAGCTGGGTAAGAGCTCAAGCCCAGTCAAACGTAGTCCCAATCAGGAAAGTCGTGTTAGTGGGGTACCAAGTCCTGCTGAGTCCACCAAATGCACTATTTCACCTTCATACCCTTCTGGAGCCAGCAGGAGCCCACCACCACTGTGCGATGACACTGGGGCTCTATCTCCTGCATCACCAACTGAGCAGGATTCCAAGCCTCTTAAGAAGCGGCGAGGACGACGGCCTCGCTGGACGAAGGCAGTGAGTCGCACCCACAAGACTTTACATGAGGCTGCTTCTAACCATCAGAAACCAATGCCATCAGGGCTTTCCTCCTCATCCCCTACTCGGCAACCTGTGGAACGGACTCCCACTGGTAATTGCATGTCCCCTGTTGATTCAGAATTTTTTGATTCTTCACCCAAGAAGAGGGGACGGCCCAAGTCCAAAATGCCTCGGTTAGATGCACCAGCACGTGGCCGCACCCCAAACAAACTGGTACCCTCAAAAGTCTACTCCAGTCTGCTCAAATCTAAAGAAGAGCAGGATCCCCCTGTTTTGCACCCTGAAGTGGACTTTAATCCACCTAAACCCATGCAAAGAAAGCGAGGGCGACCGAAGCGCTCACCACCAAACCTTCCACAAGAAACCCAGCCCCCAACACTTGCTCCTGAGTCAGGGGATACTTCAGTAGGTGAAAAACCTTTCCGTAATAAGGGCAACGGGCAGCTCATTATGAAGACGATTATAGGCAAAATTAATAAAATGAAGACAGTAAAACGGAAGAGGCTCCTGAGCCAGATACTGTTAGGGCCGAAACCAGGGACTGAGCAGGAAAGCTCCAGAAGCAGCGGAGCGCCAGGGGCTGGGGCTGCTACAAAACCACAGTCTTTATCATCACTTGCTGCTACATTTGGGGGCAAATTAGGACCCCAGATCAACGTTAGCAAAAAGGGGACAATATATATGGGTAAAAGGAGGGGTCGTAAGCCAAAAACATCAGCTAATCCCTCCCCAGGTGCCCCCACGCCCCCTCCTGAACCTTTCTTATCACCAAACACTTCATCCCCACACCATCATCACCAGTCACAGACCTTGCAAAACCAGCAACACCAGTTGCCTCCGTCTGAGGTGTTCCCTTCCCCATCACTCTCGCAGTCAAGTGGGGGCCAGAGTCCCATTAGTGATGCTAGTTTTGTTGAGCCTGGCTCAGTGCATTTTTCATCTCACCCACACTGCAGCCATTCCCATCAGGGCCACCACTCATTCTCCTTTCCCCCACCTACTTTTTCAGCCCCCTCTGCTCGCACTGTAGCAAGCTCCTCATCATCCACAGCAAACCCATCTCAAAAGAAATCTTCTTGCCGGGGTTACCACCACCACTACCGGCAGCACTACCATTATCGAAAGTTTTCTCCTCCAAGGCCACTATTGCCCACGTCTCCTGCTCCTCTTAGTGAGCTGAAGGAGGCCACACCTTCCCCAGTCAGTGAATCACACAGTGAAGAGACAGTACCCAGTGACAGTGGCATTGGGACAGACAACAACAGCACCTCAGACCGTGGGGAAAAGGCTGGTAGTGCAAGTGGCTTAGCTGGTCTAGGGGTCTCACAGGGTATGGCAAGTGGACTCTTAATGCCTGGTGTCATAGGTCCAGCCATGGGAGCTGGAATGGGGCTTTCTTCGAGAGGTAGAAGGAGGCACTCATCTTCAGTTCACTTGGAACGTCCCTCACCCACACCCTCCCCACTTGGAGCGAGGGCATCACCTGATACAAGAAGACCGCACCCAGCTGCCCCATCTCCTGCTTTGGTTGGACATAAAGAGAAGCACAAGCATAAGTGCAAACGACGTGGACATGGCTGCCCTAGCTATGACAAACTAAAAAGGCAAAAGCGCAAACGCAAGAAGAAGTACCTGCAGCTGCGGTCACGTCGGCAAGACCCAGACTTTTTGGCTGATTTGGATGAGATCTGTGTGCAGCTCAGTGAAATACGAATTGGTCATCGCACACCTACACTTCGTTTAGGTAGCAGTTTGGGTCTGGGTGCTGGGGCAGCAGGCCCGGGCCGTGGGTCTACCTTGGGAAGTGCCAGAGCCAGCAGCAGCCTTGGAGGTGGAACCAATCCACCACCACATCACTATCTACATAGAGACCTCTTGCCCACAATCTTCAGGATCAATTTTAGTGGATATTATTCACCCCACCCAGCCTACCCATGTGATTCACTTCATTATGTCCGTAAGCCAGATCTTAAAAAGAAAAGAGGGCGACCACCTAAGCTCAGAGAATCTATATCAGAAGTACCTTTTGTACCTGGGCTAGGTTTTCCCCTCTCCAGCGGAGGTTTCTATCACCCTTCTTATGGTGTACCATACTCTTCTGCCCCATTGGGACTTGGCTACTATCGTGGTTATACCCCAGCAAGTGCCCTGTACCCCCACCCCCATCACCAGGCTTCCCACTCTGGCCCATCCCACCACGTTCATTCCCCTTCTTTTCCTCCACCTCCGCCCCCTTCTTATGTCCATCATCATCACCCCTCTCACTTGCTTCTTAACCCCTCAAAATTTCACAAGAAGAAACATAAGCTGCTTAGGCAGGAGTATCTAGGTGGTGGTCGTTCATCAGTACTCTATCCTGCAATGTCGTCCGAGCTGTCATTTGGCTGGCACCACAAACACAAGCATAGGCACAAGCACCGTGATCGCTGTGGGGAAGAGGAGGGTGATGATGTTGGTGGAGTTGTAGGTAGCATTGGAGGCAGAATTGGAGGAGGTGAGGGGTTGGGGGTCGGAAGAGGTGAGCGAGGGAGTGTAGAGTCCCTGCAGCGTTGCAGGTTCAGCCGAGATGGCTCTGCTGACTCCAGTGCTAACAAACAGACAGCTTCTGCCAACTCCCCTTCCTCTTCCTCCTCATCTTCTGCAGAACGGTACAAGCGAAAAGAAGCTTCTATGTCTTGTCTTGGGCCTTCGCGACTGTCTTTGGGCAGCGTGAGCCGGGGGCATCATCCTGTTGACTCCTGGTTCAGGATGGGAAGTTCTGAAACAGATTACTCCAAACTCTCTAGAAACCAGTCCCTTTCTGGGTCTGGTGCATTCTCTGAAGGACATGTGCAAAATACAGTCGAGTGCTCAGAGAGTGATGAAGAAGATGCTGCCTCCCCTATTGAGGAGGCAGAGACCAGCCACCACACCAACTTGTTCACATCTGCACTATCTCGAACCTCCCTCAAAGGGAGTCGCAGCAAAAAAGGTGGAACATCAGAGAGCCCTAGTCTTTCACGGTTGGATCGGACGGTGAGAAGGGATCGTTCCACATCTGCAGAAAGAAGAGAGATGGGTAAGTGAGAAATCTTACAAACTAATGCTGATATTGTGAAGGTTACTGGACATGTAATACGTATGTGCTATGGTTATGGTTTACATTACAACCATGCTCAGTTCAATAATGTCCTCACATTTTTTTTTTTACATATTGAATGCAAATCTGGGCTTGAGCTTTCTGAGGTGACCCAAATTTAGTTTGACATTGTGAAGGTTGCAGAATTAATGCAGTGAAATGTAGTCACTCTCCAAATAGTTTTTACCTCAGCGTCCTCCATAATTCTGTGCTAAAATTTTATTGGACGTCACTTGCTTCAGTGCATGCCACAAATTTATGATTCTTTTCCAGTACTTCCTTTCAGTGTTCCGAATTGATTTCAGGGCCAGGCCATCAAATCAAAAACATTTTGCATTTTGTTTAAAGTGATTGATATGAGACTGCTTGAAGTTGCAGCTTGTCGTTAAAGGTCCTACAGTATACTACCTAGTAGTGCTGGGCCGTATACCGGTTCATACCGAATACCGGTGTTTATTTTTGTTATGATATGAATTTTTAAAATACTGCAATACCGGTGTATGTCGCTTAAACAACGTTCGGAACGCGACACTGTTTGAAAGGGGTCCCTTTTCACTGTTGCACTGTGATGAGGGCACAGCTGTATGTGTTACTAAGCGTGAAAGTTCAGAAACTGAAGCTGTAGAACTAATCATTTACCGCCACAAATATCCACCGCCCCCTGCCATCAGCTCCCGCGTCTCACACACACACACACACGAGCGCGACTTTAGCACTAGATTTAGCAACTTTCAGACCCTTTTAGCGGCTTTTTATTCATAGAATATTCATACTGACAAACCTAGCGATAAACCTTTTTTGGATAAACCTTAGCTATGGTTCAGTTGGAAGATTGTACAAATGAGTACAAAACAGCGTTTCCTAGCACCTGTCGCTTACTGATTGTTTGGAATTATAAATATGAGCGTAGTTCGTCTGTTAATATCACATGCACTTTTTTTGTTTGTTGTTTTTTTTAGTTTGTTACTCAGACGCAGGCAGTGCGCTGCATGAGACAAAAAAGTAATATAGCCAAAACCACCGCATAGCCGCTCAACATAAAAATACCGTGATATAAATTTTTGGTCATACCGCCCAGCACTACTACCTAGTCTACTAATGGCTAGTTCCAGCATAATTTCTTCTACACTCCAACAACTGTGGGATTCCAAATAGGCTAAATTTCTTCACACTCACACATACACACACACCTGCTCAAATGTTACAGTGCTGAACCAGGTGAAACGGAGCAGTTTTCATAATAGAGCAGGCTCTCAGTCATGTTGGGATGGGTGGACAGTGTGTTTGTGTATATGTGCTCATGCATAGAGGGTCCCTAGTGAGACTGCAAAGTGTAGTATGTAATCCAGGATTAGAGCTCAGGACATGAGGTCATCCAACGGTCATTGACTGCACCATTAATTCACTGTAGCAGCGAGAGCAAGAAACTGATGAGAGAGTAAAAGAGGAAGATTAAGTGCTGGAGGAAAATGGGGCTGATAAAAACAAGAATAAGACTAAGGCTGTGAATATAGATGTGATTGGAAGGAAGTGTTAGTTGATGAATTGGTGCACATATGTAGTGGTGCTTGATAGGGATGTAATGATTAACCGCGAGCCGGTTGAAAATCGATTAAAATATGTGACGATTCAAATCGGTTGAGATGCTAAACAAATCGCGATTCAGTTAGGGGTAGGAGTTTATATGAATGTATGTCTGAGGGGAACTTGCTGTCTTTCGATGGTATTTTTTCTTTTCCTCTTGCCTCTGTATAATGCATATCAGGGCTCCAGACTCATTCTTCCCACTGGTCACTCTTTTGCAACTAACTTTCTCAGCTGGTCGCACGAGCACATGATTTGCTCGCAATGTTTATTTTTTGCGCTGCAACATGGGATTAAACTTGTGCCGGTATTCGGTAATGCGATATATCACGGTAATGAATATGCACGATATTGTTATCGTGGGCACTTCTAAATACCGTGAATAATTATATATTACAAATTATTCCGAATTTTGAATGCATTTTAAGAATACTTTTCCCATCAACTGGTCAAAATGCACAACACCGACTCCAAAGAGAAAAGAAAACTTGAAATCGCATCACATGACCCCTTTAAACCCCGACTTGTAACATGTCTTGCATGGAGAAATTGTGGGAAAAAAATACAATGATATGGAAGGATGGGTTTGACTGATGGAAAGATAAGATAAAGAGAACATAATAGACTAGACTGTGTTGAAAAGTGAGTTAGACTGAGCGTAAGTTAATTAAAGGGATAATGGAGGATAGAGGGAACACATTTAATGAGGCCCTGCACACATGAACACATGTAGCTGCTTTTTTGCTGAATCTGTGAGGCAGTTATTTTCAGCTACATCAGAATTTGGCTATTAGGAGATGAGTATCTTTTCTACACAATCTATAATCTAATTTATCTCCCCAACTCCCCATTCTGTTATTTACCTGCTAATAAATGTGCCGTATAAAAAGATGATCTAACCAAGAATTTAAGAGTTTTTTATTTGCTTTTTTTTTTAAGGTTTTGCATTGTGTTACACACATTACACATGTGGGACGTTGGGCAATGGGGAGACTTGTGTTAATTGGTGTTCTAATTTGTTTAATTTTTCAGCTACTCAACCCACCTTTTGTTTTAATATCACAGGAAATGTGTCTGGCACACAGAACCGAGTTGGCCAATCCATTGTTCCTGAGGTTTCTGAGGGTCCCCATCATCGGCACCACCATCACCACCACCCTCCCCTATCCCTCTCACACTCTGCCTCTTGCCTTTCTCACTGCACTCTCGACCAGCCTGGAAGCGTCACAGCTCTCCGGCCCTCTAGCCGCCAGGCTAGTCCCTCCACGTGCTCCTCCCAGCCTGCATGCTGTCGTGACTCCCCCCCTTCGCATCACTCCCATCGGCCCCCTCCCAAAAACAACCTGCACCATGTCAACAAGATCCTTCGTGCGAAGAAGCTCCAGAGGCAAGCACGCACAGGAAACAACATGGTGAAAAAACGAGGTCCAGGCCGTCCCCGCAAGCACCCGCTGCCCTCGCCTCCCCCGTCGCCCCCACCACAGACATCTGAACAAGAGAACCACCCTTTACCTGAAAGGCACAGAGGAAGTGTGCTTTGGGAGGGAGACACCGTGGTTGACGTCATTGAGTCTGTAATACAGAGTCAGCGCAGAAAGGGACGCAAGAGAAAACGCTGGGAAAGGGAGACAGAAGGAGGCGACGAGGAAGAAGAGGAACCGGCAGAGGAAAGAGAGGGGGAGGAAGAAGAAGAAGAACGACCAGCTGCTAGAGAGGAAGATGTGATGGCAAGAGCTAGAACAGAAGGAGGGAGGGGATGGTTGACGCAGGAGGAAATGCATTGTTTTCGCAGGTATGCAGTACAAAATATGCAACTGTTCAAAATGTAGATTTTTTTTTTTTGGAAGAAATTAATACTTTTATTCAGCAAGGATGCATTAAATTGATCAAAAGTGACAGTAAAGACATTTATGTTATAAAAAGATTTCAAATAAATTCTGTTCTTTTGAACTTTCTATTCATCAAAGAATCTTAAAAAATGTATCACTGTTTCCACAAAAAAGATTAAGTTGTACAACTGTTTTCAATATTGATAATAAGTCATTGAGAACCATTTCACCATATTAGAATGGTTTCTGAAGTATCATGTGACACTGAAGACTGGAGTAATGGCTTTGAATTAACACTAGGGCTGCACGATAAATCGCATGCGATATTTAACTTTCTGACAAGATGCGCGTTAAATATCGCATGCGATTTATCGTGCAGCCCTAATTAACACGGATCAGCATGCAAGCTTGAAATAAATATGATACATTGCGTGACATCTCCAAAACCTGTTTAAAATCAACATGAAATCAAAATCAACCTATTTTCTAACCTTAAAACATCTCTGTCTCCATATCCTGGACAAAAAAAGCTTCTGTAAAATCTAATTAATTTTCTCTGAAATTTCCTTTTTACATTCCTCCACAATAAACTTTTTAGAACCTTTAATGTTGCTGTAATGATCAAATCAATTTAATGTTGACTTAAACACCACAAAAGTCTTAGGCCCGGTTTCACAGACAGGGCTTAGACTAAACCAGGATTAGGCCATAGTTCAATTAGGACATTTGAGTAAATCTTTTTTTAACATGCCTTTGAAAAAACATTACTGGTGTGCAACAAAACAAAGGCACTGATATATTTTAAGATCAGTCAGTGCAAATTTCTTTCAGTTGAAACCGCTCAGAATTGCATTTTAGTCTGGGACTAGGCTTAAGCCTTGTCTGTGAAACTGGGGGTTAATCTCATAATAAATGACTGCTTTTCTTTGCAGCGCTCTGGAGGGAAAACCTGATGGCCAATCCTCCCCAGAGCGCACAGGCCCTACTTCCGTGGAACAAGCCCCAAACCCATCAGTGACCAGTCAGCGGGAGAAGAGAGTTGCTAGACCACCCAAAAAGAAGTTTCAAAAGGCTGGGCTTTACTCTGATGTGTACAAGACTGACGAGTAAGAATGAACAGACTCATTAAGCCTGTCTTATTATCTAACATTCATATACCAGGAAAATAAACTTAACCTGTCTCCATTTCCCCATCAGTCCTCGCAGTCAGCTGCTACAACTAAAGAAGGAGAAGTTAGAATACACTCCAGGTGAACATGAGTATGGCCTTTTTCCTGCCCCCATTCATGTTGGTGAGTTTTTCATTTAAGCTTAGCTTGCAGTTGTGTTCTAATAATCTGCAGATTTTGACATGCATCACTTAATTTATCTCTATATCTAATTGCAGTTTGGTAGACAGTTTGATTTAGGATTCATTTTTCAACCTAACTGTTTTAAAGAACTATTATTTCAACGAGTAAGCTTGTGGATTTGCCGGTATACAGCTTTCATTGTCATTTCTAACCAGTTCATTATGTATGGCCCCATGGGCAATCAGGCTGATTAGTTATGGTTTATGAGTTATGAGGTGATTAGTTGATTCAATATTGGAATGGCGCAGCCTCAAGTGAAAGGACAAAGAGATTGAATTAGTAACTGCTATTTGTTTTCGGTGTTTGTCCAGGGAAATACTTGAGACAGAAACGCATTGATTTCCAGCTGCCTTATGACATCCTGTGGCTTTGGAAACATGATCAGGTAGCTCCTTAAAACCACATCTTTCTCTGAGTTGACAGCTGCATTTGTCATTTATGTTTTTTGCTTCAAAATCATTTTATTAATCAGTATTTTGGTCTTGGTTTCCAATAAACATAATTTAAACAAGATAAATTTATTTGTAGGATAATAACATTATTATTTTTATTATTAAGTTTATTATTAAGTTTTCAAATAAGTAAATTTTTCTTCCCTCCATTGGCAAATGCTTTTCCCCTTGGTATAAGCATAAATCTAACAAAATGTAATCAGGTTTATGCTCCTTCATGAAAAATATTTTGCCAAAGGGGTAATATAAATAAACTTAGTTTAGAATATATTTTCTGAAAACAAGTTTTAATATCTATAATGATTTTAAGTAGTTTAATCCATATACTCAAGGATACATCTTTGTTCTTTGTAGCTCTACAAGAGACCTGATGTACCTCTCTACAAGAAGATCAGATCCAGTAAGCAGATTTTCATTAGTTTTTGTCACTACCCATAAGCTCAACAACTCTGTAGAGCAGAACATGCTTGAGTTTCCATAAATATACTGATTTGGCAGGACTGGGAGTTATAGATTCCTTCCTGACTATCCTGCTCTCATTTTTGTACACTTTGTGTTTTGCTTGCGTATGTTTGCAAATGTTTGAAACTAATGCATTAATATTTTCCCTTTTAGATGTCTATGTGGATGTGAAGCCTCTTTCTGGCTACGAAGCCACTACCTGTAACTGCAGGCTGCCTGAAGAGCACAGTGAGAAGGGCTGTCAGGATGACTGTCTAAACAGGTAAGAGGCTTACTTCTTCTCCTCTGCTTACCCATTAGTACAGCTGTAGATCCCATGGTTTTCTTATCTCTGTCTGCCTCAGGATGATCTTTGCTGAGTGTTCTCCAAGTACATGTCCTTGTGATGATCAATGTGATAACCAGCGTATCCAGAGGCATGAGTGGGTGCAGTGCCTCGAGCGCTTCCGGGCTGAAGGGAAGGGCTGGGGGATTCGAACCAAGCAGCCCCTACATTCCGGCCAATTCATCATCGAGTACTTGGGAGAAGTGGTCAGCGAACAGGAATTCAGGTTAGCCACATTTTGCCTTTAAACAAGAGGAGACACATACTTCAATTAGTTTTAATATGCAACAATTTAGTTAAAGGGATAGTTCACCCAAAAATGAAAATTTGATGTTTATCTGCTGACCCCCAGGGCATCCAAGATGTAGGTGACTTTGTTTCTTCAGTAGAACACAAACGAAGATTTTTAACCCAAAATTGTTGCATTCCGTCAGTCATATAATGTAAGTGAATGGGAATCACGGCTTTGAGTGTCAAAAAAACATACACAAACAAAACCAAATTAAACCCTGCAGCTCGTGACGATACATTGATGTGTAAAGACACAAAACGATCGGTCTGTGCAAGAAACTGAACAGTATTTATAT